TGAGCTAGATTCTTTTTGGGGTGCAGAACCATATGAACAGACGTTGAGCTGTGTGAAGTAGGATATTATTTTAAAATCTATAGGTAATGTGGGTTTAAATGTTGGGAATTTGCCATCTTTTAATTTTGCTTTGTTATATAAGTGGAGGTTGCCTTTTTTAATGATTTTAACTCTCTTTGGGTTAGAGTCATTAAAGCTTGTTATGGGTTGCTGGGTGGATTTGATAAGGATTATGCTAGAAGTGGGAGAAGGGGGTATGGACTAGGATTTTGGGCGTGATTAATCAGTTGCATGATATGGAAATTGTTTCGTTGTCTTCTATGAGTAGAGTTGTGGGGAATGAGGGGGATACAAATTTTTGGACAAATTTGTGGTGTAGAAACGAACCCTTTCAAAATCTTTTTCTTATATTGTTCGCTCTTACGGACAATCAAAATGCGGTTGACAAAGGCTTTTGGTTTATGCAAAATTGGAGATTTTCTTGGAGACGTGATATTTGGGGCGGTGAATAGAGCACTTAAATCTTTACTTTGATGTCTTTGTTGGAGGAGGTCACCATCACTGATTCTTTGGATAGATGAAGGTGTGATTTGGAGTCGTCAGGTGATTTCACAGTCAGATCAATGTGACAACAGATTGATAGTGTGGTTCTCCCAATTGTTTACATACCTATTAGGTGGAATAGGTTTGTTCCTATAAAGGTCAAGTCTTTTGTTTGGCGGTTAGTTCGTGATCGTCTTCTTACTCGAGTGAACTTGGATAAAAGAGGGATTGAGGTTGACTAAACTCAATGTCCTATTTGTTCTTGCCATTTGGAAGATGTCGATCATATATTCTTCTCTTGTGATTTAGCTCGTGAGATATGGAAAAGAATGCAGGTTTTGATAGAATTGGATATTCTTTTATTTTTTGAACATCACATATATGTGTTTCAATGGATTGATTTACATACGGTGGTCCAGTTCAAACGGAAAATCTTTGAATCGGTTTTTATGATACTTTTTTAGGGTTTTGTGGTTTTGCAGAAATGTTATGGTATTCCGACAACAATATATAAAACTACCATGTTTGGTAATATTATAGCTTTTGCATTTAAACGGTTTTGCAATAGAAATACTAACGCCAATCATACCTAGATTGTGTGGGTCAAAAACCCGCTCATGGTATTTTGAACTTTTATTTAAAATTTATGTAGTTAAAAAAATATATATGATGAGTTACAACAATGGTTAATTAAAGAGCCTAACAAAACTAGGTTAAATACTCTACTAATCTACTTTAATAATTTTTTTTGTTGTATGTTAAACTTTTATTCATTTTACCACATGTCATTTTGTGGTTGTTTTAAATTAAATTTTTCCACATGTTATTATATTTTTTTCTATTTTATTAAATTCCACATTATATTTAAATATAATAATTGTAATAATATAATAATAAATGGATATCAATTTCATTAATGTAGTTTCCTTTTAATTTCAAAATTCTTAAATTGAAATCAAATTATTTCCTTTGTTTATTTATCTAAATTAAATGTGAGCATTTTAATTTCAATAATTCAATATTTTCTCATTTTTCTTATAAATTTAAACTTTTTAATGCAATTTTCCTTCTAGTTTTAAAATTCATAAATTAAAGCCTAACTATTTATTTGTTTGTTTATTTACATTATTTGTTTAAATTTAAAAATGAAATGAACATTTCAATTTCTATAATTCAATATTTTTTTTATTTGTTTTATAAATTCAAACTTTTAAATGTTTAGACATTCATATTTAACCTTTTTTAATAAACTTATGTAGTATACGAGTCTCACAACTAGTTTTCTACTCTAATAAATCAAAATCCATTTTGCCACATGTTAATCTCATGAATTTTGATACTTATCATTTTATGTTATTTTTGAAATAAATAATATTCACTTGTTAGTTTCTGTTTTTTTTTTCAATTTTTAAAATTAAAAAACCAGATAATACTTATATTTATATATATTATTATATATATTATGTATTAATGTAATGAATCTATGTAATCTATTAAATGTAAAGAATGTAGTAATAAATTACAATAAATGTTTTTTTTTTTGAAACTTTATTTTAAAAAATAGTTAATTTTTATATTTAACTTTTTTTAATCAATTCATATAATATATGAATCTTACCCTTAATAATTGAACTACAATATCATTGTTGGGATCTCAAGCCCTTTATAGTTCTACGGCCTTAATGTTTCACATAATTTGTCAATACTCCGTTTATATGTACCTTATAAACTCGTGTTTCTAAAAGCAAAATCAATATTTTCTATAGAGAAGGTAACATTGAAATTATTTTTCTATTGTCTTAAAAGCTAAATGACGACACATCAAATTAACTATAAACTACAGACATTCTATAAATTAAAACAAAAAAAAAAATTGAAATAAACTTCAAAATTCCAAACCGTCTTAATATTAAAAAAAATAAAAATAATAAAAAACTCATGGCCTTCTATACTAAGAGAAAAAAGTTACTCACAAAAGAATAAATCTGGACTGTCAGAAAATTAACGGTGCAGATTTAAGCTCTCTTTTTTTCTTTTTGTTAAAAATAGGAATGGCAACAATCATTTTCTTGCAATATAGAATTGCCAATATGGGAATATGCATGAATATTTTTTCATAATTTAGTTTTAGTCCATAAACTTTGCAGAATAAAAATTTAGACCACCAACTCTTAGATAAGTGACAGAAAGATTGTGTGGTATAGCGTAGAAAGATTGTATGGTATAACATAGTAATATATAAGTTCTTTTAGGTAGTATTTTTTTTAGATGAAAAATCTGATATATTTAAAATCTAAGCCTTTATATATTGAGAAGTTGGTATGTTTGTGGTTTGTTTTTATGTGAATGAGGTGTTAGTTGGAAGTTTGTATACCTTATGATTTATAACTAGGGTGTAAACGAACCAAACGAACACAAATGATGGTCTATTCATGTTTGTTCGTTTAAGTTAGCCGAACAAACGAACGAACACAAACGGATAAAAAACGAGTTTTCTTGTTCATGTTCGTTTGTTTAATAAATTACACTGTCCACGTTCCTTTTGTTTATGTTCGTAAACATGCTGAACGAACATAAACGAATGAAGATAAACAAACATAATTAAACATATAATATTGTAATGTAATCAAACACAATTGAACACATATGAATATAAAATAACTTAAATGAATGAACATAAACAGACATTCGCAAACATAATTGAACGAACGAGACCATTGTTCATGTTCGTTCGTTTAACTAAACGAACGAGAATTTGTGTTTATGTTAGTTCATTTATTAAATGAACGAACATAAACGAACTTTCTGTCGAACAGTTCACGAACAATTCGTTGAACGTTCATTTTGTTTAGAGCCCTACTTATGACATTGTTAGGGTCTGTTTGATATGCGTCTGACCGAGTTGGGTCAGACGTTTTTTGCTGACTCGGTCAGACAAACTTGTTTGTTAAGCGATTTATTGATGTCTGACTGGGTAAGAGATATCTGAATGAAAAAGATATGAGATATCTCCTGACTGAGAAAGATTCCAAACGTGCCCTTGCCCTACGTTCAAGTTTCAACGCCTCCATCTCGTTTTTTTTCTCTTTCAACTATTGACGATTTGAGACTCACCCACCACCGATCGACGCTGCACTTCTACCAATCGAAGATCTCTTCTAATCAGGTATGATTTCTATCTTCTTAGTTTCGTTTTTCATATATATATCCGATTTTTCCTGTTGTGTTCTGATTTCTTGTTGTTCTCTTCTGATTTGTTGTTCATTCTGATTTCTTGTTGTTTCTCTTCCGATTTGTTGTTTCTTTTTCGATTTGTTGTTAATTCCAATTTCTTGCCTTTGTCTGCCCTTGCCATGTGTTCTGATTTGCTATCCAATTTGATTTTTCTGCTTGAGAAGTTATAAGTCTGATGCAGATTGTTAAATCTAATGTTGTATTGCGTTTTTTTTTTCTCTATTCACATTGAGATTCTTAAATTTGATGCAGATTTTTTTTTACGTAGAAATCTAGTGCATAATTTTTGTTTGAAAGAGAAATATGGTGCAAAATTTGCATTATGATATTTGTTAAGCTAAGTGATATGTTATCTTGCTTGTTGACTTTTTTGATTTGCTAGTTAGTTGATTGATTTGCTAGTCATGCTTTAATTTGTTGGATTCAAACTTAGAACATCATAGCTTTTGCAAAGATGTTTTTGCTGTTGAATACATAGATATATATTTGTTAAATGCTGATTTTGCTGTTAAATGTTCATTTTTGCTGATTTTTGTTGTTGAATGTTGATTTTGAAGTTCACTTTTTATGGAATGGTTTCTAATTGATGTTAAGATCTTTTATGTCCATAAACAAACGATTTTGATTGATGTTAAGATACATATTTTTTCTGTTGAATATTGATTTTGCTCATAAACAAACGACTGCTTTATGATTGATGTTAAGATCTTCTATGTCCTTTTGAATTGAGTTGATTTTTGGTGGCCGATATGGAGATAAGGATGGAATGGTGTAGGTAAGGGGTTTTATGGATGGATGGGGTTATGGTGGAGGTTCAAGATGGGTGATAATAGAGGTTAAAGTACGGTGAAGAAGATGATGATGCAGTGATAGTGACGTGAAGAAGATGAGGGTAAAATTGTCATTTTTCCTAAGTCAGCACATTCAGTCAGATGTACAATCAAACAACATGGTTTCTTAATCAGTCAGAATTTCTTACCCAGACAGACCTTTCCCAGTCAGCACTTTCTCAGTCAGAAACTATCAAACGGGACCTTAGTGTTCAAGTTGTCAAGCATAATCGATGGAATTTACATTGTTGCGTTCACATTTTCGAATCTTTTAAAGTCTAAGGACTAAGTTTGTACTTATCTCCAAACTTATGTCCGAAATAGGAATATCTTAAAGTTAGTGCATTATAGAATCTTTGCGGACCCTCACTTTTTAATCACCTTCTTCTTCTTCTTTCCATCTCTCTAATTCTCTTCCGGCGAGTCCGAGCGAGAGAGTGAGAGAGAGAGACATACAAACACTGTAACACAAATCCAGAATTTCCATATATTTTGGAAACACCATCGGAAAATATGGAGTTCAAGGATCGGAAAACTTTGCCAGTTTCCAAATCTGGTAACGACGACGACCGTCGAAATGTCTCCTCTCCGATGACCAGAACCGGCGTTTACGCCGCCGTCTCTTACATGGCTTGTGCAGGTTCTCTTTCTCTCTCTCTCTAGAATCAAACTCCATTTTCATTTTCAGAACATTTACGAAGGTTAATGAATAACGATGCATTTCATGGATATCGGTGTGTTCGTATTATCGCACACGAAATTCACAGAATGAAAGTGGATCTGTAAAGTGGATCCACTGATTATGGTGTAACAGTTTATGTGTGTCGTGAGGTTCTAAGAACCATTCATGGTGCGACATGGTTAAAACACTGTATGATCTGATGTATATCTTACCTAAACTATTTGACCATAAGTTAATTAAATATTTAAAATATATTTCATTATAGAGAATATTAATAAGATAATTTAAAATAGTTAAATATTGGACTCTTTTAGGTGGAAAGAGCAATAGCATTATTGGGTTTTGCCATTTGGTGCAAATTCCCTCACTTTTGGAATATTATCCGGTAGTTCATAATTTTCTACATAAGTACCTTACTATTTATGTCCCCAAAAATCTTTCCGATACATTAGTTATCAGCAATTGATTAAACAGTTATTGTTGTATTTGAAAAATATTTTAGATAAATCAGTACAGTAATTAATTAAACAATTTTCTTAAAATGCATGTTATACAGTAATTAATTAAATAATTTTCTTAAAATATATGTTGTATGGTACTAGCTAAAAAATTAGGTGTTAACTTATAAAAAGTAACGTTTGATAAAAAACTAACTGATAAAGTAATAGAAGATATAACAACGTAAAAATACATTTAGATAAATATCTTTTTATAATTAATTAATAGTATATTTAAAATTTAAAAATTTCTAAAAAACCTAGTCTAAACTTTTTAAAATATTATTTAATATTTTTTTTGAAAACCAGTTAACATGTTAGTTATCATCGTACAACGAATGAGAAACTAAACCTTTTTGTATGTTATTTTAAAATGATAGTAATTTATAAGGTAGATTATAAGTTACTTTTTATAACAACCTAAAAAGGTTTGAAAATTAGTTAGTTTACAAAAAAATGTTATCTACTCTAATAAATGAATGTTTTTTTTTTCCATATGTCATACTCTCATTCAATTTGTCAAATATCATTTTGTGGTTATTTTGAATTAATTTTTTTTCACATGTCATTTTATGAGTTTTTTTCTATTTTATTAAATTCAATATAATATTTTAATATAATAATTGCAATAAATGTAATAATAAATTAATATCAGTTTCATTAATGAACTTACATTTTAATTTCAAAATTCTCAAATTAAAGTTCATTAGTTTCTTTTGTTTATTTATTTAAATTATTTGTTTAAATTTAAATATATAAAAAACATTTCAATTATAATAATTCATTGTTTTTTCTTATTTTCTTATAAATTTAAAGTTATTAAATATTTTGACCTATATATTTAATTTTTTTTAAATTAACCTATGTAATATATGAGTCTCACAACTATTGTATTAATAGATATGAAAAATTTTCGCAAAATTGTTTGAAATCTCATCGTGCGATTAAAAATATAGAACTGTGTTTTTGAATTTGACATTTGTTTCCATTTGGAATATTTTTTGGAAAAATTGTTTTATTAAAATATATTATTCAATTAAATATAGGAAAGAGAATCACAAGCATTCTTGTCTGATGTGTGTTTGTGGCCATGATACATGCAATATTGTACCAGCTGGTGGTTTTTAAGTACGAATTTTCTGTTACATGTACTTCAAAGATATCTTTTTTGACACAAAGGTGGGTGTTTGGAGCATTAATTGCCAAAAAGATACACATATCTTAATGCTATAAAGGTTGACAGAAAATATCAAAAGCCTTTAACTTAGTGTTACTTTTAGTTTGATAATGAAATTCGAAAATTAATTTAAAATGGAGTTACAAGTTTACGTTTATAATAATGTGGATTAATTTGGTTCTTCCCATTTTATTAAAACCCAATGAAGTTAGAAAAAATGACAACCAACTTTGTTTATATCTTTTTCAGTAGTGTAAAAAAGTTTATTAGTCATGTCCTTAAACATCTACAAATAGTCAATTACCCAAAGGCATCATAGTTGTTTGATTTAATTAACAATAAAACACTTTAGTTTACTACATTTTTGTATTATTTTTAAACGATTAATATCATAAATATGTAACCAAGTTCTATCAAAAGATAAGATAAGTAAGTTGGACTTTTGTCTATAAAATATCATTAAAATAAGGGTATTTTGTGAACAAAATATTCAATTTTCTTACCTTATGTCATTTTTTTAAATCGTTGTATTTTGTGAAAAAAGAAAAAACAAGTTATTCATTGCTCATTTACGAAATTAGTTTTTTTTTTTTATAAAAAAAAAACTGTGACTAATTTTGACCATATCTTTATGTTGATTTTGCAGTTCTTTTGATCATGTTCAATAAAGCCGCTCTTTCATCATATAAATTTCCATGTGCCAATGTTATTACTCTTTTCCAGGTTCCCCTCATCAACTTAGTCCTTTATTTTGACCTCGAAAGGTCAAACTTAGTAATTTTCAAATCCAAATTTTATGTATGTACATCGTAGATAACAATTTTTCTCGATACATAACAATTATTATAAAGCCATCAATTTTAACAATTTATAGAGTTATACAGTATAATATTTTTCAAACATAAATTGTTATGTATGGAGAAAAACTATTATGTACGAATCAGATCTCTAATTATATTTTCTTTCTGTTTTAGTTCACCACAAACCCAACTACAAATTATTTCCCTATTATTATAAAGCCATCAATTTTGACTATTAAAAAGTCAATGTTTACTCATGCTAATTTTTTTTACGTTTGTTGTAGATGATATGTTCTTCAATCCTTCTTTATGCATTAAGATGTAGAAAAATCATTTCTTTCAGAGGTGATAGTGAAATCCCAAGCACAAAAAACATTCCAGGGATTTTCATACCATCAAATACATTGATCAAAACTCTTCCTCTAGCAATCTCGTATTTACTTTACATGGTATATTACGGTACCCTTGCATGTTCTACTTTTTACCACATATTTTATTTTCTTTGTCTGATATGTTTTTCGTTTATATGTGAAAGTTGGTTTCAATGGAATCTGTTCGTGGTGTAAGTGTGCCCATGTACACAACACTTAGAAGAACGACTGTTGCATTTACAATGATCGTAGAATATGTTTTGGCTCGACAAAAATATTCTATATATGTTATTGGCAGGTACGTTATTAATTTCATGACATAAACAAGTTTAACCATAGTTTATATACAACTCATTGTTGCAAAAAAAGGCTTATGTGTTGTGCAAAAAATTAACGAAATCTTGCATATGCTTATATAATAGTGGAGTCCCACATCTTTTATATGATAAAAGAGATAATGACTTAAAAGTGTAATATATTTTTCGATTTGTACACATTTAGTCAGTGGGTTTTTTTTGTCCACATTTTCCCCTTTAACTTGTTTAACTGTACAGATTCAGTCATTATGACCGGCTACTCAAGGTAAGCTAGAAAAAATGACTTAATATGGTAATATATTTCTCATTTTGTAGACATTTAGTCCTTAATATTTTTTTGCACATTTAGTCCTTAATATTTTTTTGTTGCAAAATAAGTCTTTGTTGTTTTTATACACATTCAGTACTTATGAATGATTTCGTTAGGTTTTTTTCATGACATCCTACATAGGACAATAATTAATGAGACGTTTTGGGGTGTTCATGCTTATGACCAATGTGGCCTCGATTGATTGGTGTTTAGGTCTTGTGTTCTGAACGTCGTAACTTCTTCATACGATCTCAGATTTTAACAATCTTTATATCTACACGTTCGTATTTAAGTCTACTATAATTTTTGTTTAGATTACCCCGTTAAAAAATAATATATTTTTACTTACGATTTTATAAAAAAAATGTTCATACATACATTCATAAAGAACGCATGTATATAAAGATCATAAGTAAAAATATATTGCTTTTTAACGGGAGTAATCTAAACGAAAGTTATAGTAGACTTAAATACGAACATGTGGATATAAAGATCGTTAAAATATGAGATCTTATGAAGAAGTTATGACGTTCAAAACACAACAAATACAAACGCATTGATATAAAGATCGTTAAAATCCGAGATCGTATGAAGAAATTATGACGTTCAGAACACAAGACCTAAGCAACCTAGCAGCTGAGGTCGTGGTGACCATAAGCATCAACAGCCTCGGACACCCCATTAATGATTGTCTCACTTAGGATGCCGTGAAAAAAACCTAAAGAAACTGGTCATAAGTATTGAATGTGTACAAAAACAACAAAAACTTATTTTGTAACAAAAAAATATGAAGGACTAAATGTGCAAAAAAATATTAAGGACTAAATGTGTATAAAGTGAGAAATATATTATCCTATTAATTCATTTTTTTTAGCTTACCTGGAGTCATAAGGACTGAATGTGCATAGTTAAACAAGTTGCAGTGGAAAATGTAGACAAAAAAAATCAATGACCAAATATGTATAAATCGAAAAATATATTATCCTTTTAAGTCACTATCCCATGATAGAACTAGGAATGTACAAGAATTCGTCATGGGTCTTTAAACAGCCATGGCCCAATTAAGTCATTACCCTTTTAAGTCATTATTTTAAAGGGAAATCTCAAGAAAAATCCAAATATTTTACTATAATTTACGAATAAGTCTCAATATAAATTTTTTATGAAAAAATATGATTACCGGTAAAAATAACAATTTGAAACTTTTTTCCTGTTCACAAGTTTCATTGTTGACATGGTTCCATTAATCCTATTATTTTACCATAACTTACGAACAAATCTCAAACTAAAATTATGTGATGATTTTGTCCGTTTCTCCATGTAACATACATTTTATCGATTTTATTTTCTGTCTATTAAAACTATTATATTTTTTTATTTTGATTAAATTAATGATTCACAGGACAATACAAAAAATTGAGTTCCATAACCTACCAACCTACCCAGAGACAAAAAAAAATAATAATAAGTACATAAGAACATTGATTTATATTATAAAAGGGTATGAGGAATAGTAATTAAAGCTTTTTGAAATTAATAATATTATAATTTCTCAAAAAATAATAATATCTTTTTAGAATAACAATTACAATTTTTAGAAATTAACAATATCATGTAATTATTTTGGCTCCATGTTGACTATACAATTTTCATATGTTATCATGATGTAAAACTTTTATTTAATCAAATACATTATATTTTTTTTAACGGACACAAAAAATAACATAATGTTTTTTTTTGAACATTGGGAGATAATCTGTTCAGTTTTATGAGCTTTAAAGACAAATTTGGCTAATCAATACCATGTTTTTATAATTGAATTTTTTTAACCAAATTCTAGCAAGTCGTAAAGCCAAAATCGCTTAACTCGTTATTATGCCCACCTCAAGAGGTTCACAAAACCACGTCCAAACGATCCTTTAATCCTGAGCCCTAGACCAATATTCATAACCGGTCTCCGATCTAGTCATGAAAATATAGAGCCCGTGTAATTGAGACACTATAAACGGCTATAACTTATTTTTAAACAATTATTTTAAGAAAATCTAAAAACGAAATTGTAAAAAATAATTCACTAAATGACAAAAAGGCTACAAAATATAGCTTTTTAACGTATTTGGTTTCGAAAAGAATTAAATGGTCGGATCGTCAAGCTTTATACGATCGTGACCAAACTTTTTATTCGGTTTTGTGTCGAGGTTGGCCCAAATCGGCTAAATGGTCCTTATGATCTCATGATAAACAAAATGTGTTATTTATACCATGTGTTCATATATATATATATATATATATATATATATATATATATATATATATATATATATATATATATATATATATATATATATATATATATATATATAAAGTTGTAAGAATCTAGAGATTAGTGGTTTTATAGCGTAGGTTTTTTTATCAAATCACTTGATTTCAGTGTAGGAATAATCATACTCGGTGCCTTTGTAGCTGGAGCTCGAGATTTATCATTTGATTCCTATGCCTATGCCATTGTTTTTTCTGCAAACATTTGTACTGCAATATATCTAGCTTCAATAGCGCGAATAGGTACAACTGTATTTTCACATTGACACCTCGTTCTTGGATACCTTTGTAACATGAATTCTTGCTTTTATCAGGAAAATCTAGCGGCCTCAATAGCTTCGGCCTTATGTGGTGCAATGGTAAGGCCCTCCTGACTCCAAGAAAAAGAACCCGATATATTTTGACTTTAGAATTATAAACTACTTTAAGTCAACATAAAATTTCTTCTATTTTTGTATTTTATATCAAAAACAATTTTTTCATCTTTGTATGTTTACTCCAGTAAGAAGGTGTGAATCCATATGTGAGATTACATGTTCAAGGATGGAATATTGGACATCACCTTTGATACTCTTAAGAGTATTATAATTGATTATGTTACACATGGATTAGTATCCTTTAACACATACTGAAGTTTTTATCATTTACAGGGTTAATATGTACTCCAATCTTGTTACTATGGACATGGGCCTGCGGTGATCTTCAACTCACCGCAAACTTCTCTTACTTGTCATCTCCTGGATTTCAGGTGTGAGTTTTTAAAGTTAAATTAACAGTATATGTAAATCCATATGATTATTTAAACTTTATTTAGTCTTCAAGTGTTATTATATAGGTTGTCATGCTTTTGTCATGCGTCATGGCTTTCTTGTTGAATTATGCGGTTTTCTTGAACACAACTTTAAACTCGGCTGTTACACAAACAATATGTGGAAACTTAAAGGTGCATAATATAATATTAATTACATATTATCTATTTTAGAGTTTAGGGTTAAGAATTTAGTGTTGTATTTGATACAAATAATGAAATTTGTAGGATCTTTTCACAATCGGACTTGGGTGGCTTCTCTTTGGCGGTCTTCCATTTGATTTGGTATATAACCACACTTTATCGAATTTAGAAACAAAAGAATCTTACAGTTGATCTATTTTATGTTTTTTTGTTGAATTTAATCAGTTGAATGTGGTTGGCCAATCTCTCGGGTTTCTTGGATCTTGTACCTATGCATTTTGCAAAATCAAAGGGTTGTAACCCGATAGAAGAAGGATAATTATGTGTAAAAAAGGTAATCATATTCATATTTCTTATACATTATGTTTTGGTAGATTTGTGTTAAAAAATAGTAAGTTTATGATTTTTTACATGATTTTGGATATTAGTTAACAACCCAAATCAATGTATATTCTATGAAAATGGAATTTATATGTAAAAATTTGATGACAATATGTGAACTAATTAAGGTTGCTTTTGTTTGAAACAGGTTCGTTTGTAGCTTCACATAATAGACAATTTTGTTGGATCAAAAGCCAAGTGCGGATATATCTTGTTCCTTGTTAGTTTGCCTCTTATCAACTCATTTGTTTAGATATTGTTTTTGTTGTGAATGATTGTTTTTTATCCAACAAATCTTAATTATTTAATTTTCCCAGCCCTTAGTTGTTTACACATGTTTGACTTGATTTAACTTTTTATACTTTCGGTTCATTCAACACTTATTCTTCACTATTATCATACAAGAGTGTCTTGTAAACTATACATGATCATATGTTCTTTGTCTATAAACTTGAAACTCAAAATTTCAAGCATGAAATCATTTCTTTCGGTAAGAAATTTTGTGTTATGAGAAAATAAGAATATGAAGTTAAATAGATTAAAGGTAATTAAAACAAGGATAAATATGTTTGTCATTATCTTTTAAGAAAATTTTAAAACTTAAATTTTTGGTTTTTGAATAAATTTTGCGAAAAAGAATTGTATTTATGATTAATTACTAGCAGATTATGTTGCATGTTCCTTTTGGTAATTAGTAGTCATCTCAGTGGCACCTCTCGCAGTCTGCAAAGTTGTAGTTCGCTCCTCGAACTTGGCAATTAGCCTGCCAGTGATCCGATTCACGATACCAAACAATTCTTCCTGCGAAATCTGTAAAACCTCCACGGTAATCATCTCCCGTATCTGATCAACAGTCAACCCCGGCCTATCCTGACCATCAACGTCTGATCTTGAACCAGATCCCATTGTGAACTTCATACTAGAAACGAACCAAAATGCATCAGAAATGCCAAAATACACCTATAATCACAACCATTCTAGACATACGAACCCTCGGGGTCTGTGACTTCCTTGAGACGCATACGGGTCCTGTGATTTCAGTAGTATGGGCCCATACTACCTTCCACACATACATGTATTTGTCTCAACGATCTTCATAACCATCCAAACATATACAAACAACTAGGATACACATACATCCTATCCTTGCCCCTCTCAAGAGCGGCTAAACATTCCAAAACTGGTTGGCTATGTCCATAGTCACTCATAGTGATACTCCCAACACCTTCTAAAAAGCACAGCATGAGCACTACATACTACCTAGGCTATCCTAGGATCCACATCTCACCCTGTCATCAACTATCGAACGACCCCCATTGGCGTCAGTTAACTACTGCATGAATACCATCACATGCAACATAACTTAAATAATCTTAGATTAAAAGATTTAACCCTACAACGGTTGGACTCAGAGAAGAGTTGCGCAATAGGACCAAATCCTTCACTCTAAAATTATTTAACCCATGAAGCATGTGACTTAACGTATTCAATTAATAGTTAATTCACACCCGAAATAGTCCTACAATAATAAGCAAGAAAACTCTATAGGAAATAAGGCATCATACATCAGACAATTCTATCATGCAATTCCTGAAGATCCCTATCCTACAACTAGCATGTTGTTTTACAATATCATAACAAATAACAGTGTGGTAACTTGGGGTATACTTACTGGCTCCAGCTGATTGTACACATCACATCCTTCTTTGGTTACTTTTGAAAACAATTTTAAAAATCATTTTTTTAACTTTTGCAATTCCTTAGTTTGAGACTGGATTCACACGGGTGTTCCTTCAATTTGCTCAAACCAAGGCTCTGTACCAACTTGTAACATCTCAAAAATCACAACAAATTTAAACTTTTTAAAACAACTCATTTTCTCAAAAGAAATTTTTACATAACCATTGTTTTCAAAACATTATTCAAAATCAGAGTATCCCAAGATCCAATCAACATAAAACCAAGGATGTGTACGGTCACACCTTCACGTTGCCACGATCCTCAGAAGTACCTGCAGCCACAAACTAAAAATGTAAGCCAAATCTTATTGAGTTTCCCCAAATTACCACCATACAACATATAATCAAACAGATAATGGGTCCACAACCTCCTGGTTGGATTACCCATGGCCCACAACCTAATGGTTGGGATGCCCCAGCCCACAACCTTATGGTTGGAATGCCTAATACATAACGGGTCCACAACCTCCTGGTTGGATTACCCCCGGCCTACAACCTCCCGGTTGTAATGCCTCGTCCTACAACCTTGTAATTGGAATGTCCTGGTCTGTTGACTTACAGCATAAAGAAGTACAATCTAAACCCCACCATACCATGTCGACATGCACATAACAACTAACATATATCTAACAACAGATAATCAAATAACCAATTAACCGACTAACAGGCAGATCTATAGATTACTACTATATGGCAACATCCTATATACCAGGATATATAACCAAATGGGCCGGTATTGGTGCCTTCGACCCACAAGAACAATGAGGAAACTCACTTCACAGTCTGACAAATAGTTGATCAATACACTGCTCTAGATACCGGCTCAACCCAAATTCCTAAATGTCCAAAACATTACCCAATCTAAATTAATAACATTTTCCTAAAATACCCTTGGTCAAAACTGATCAAAATCAACAAGTAAATAGAGTCAACACAACTGAGTCAACTCAGCCGAGTCAACTCAGTCGATTCGACTTAGGCTTCATACGCAGGGCGTACCAGCTGTCTGAGGCGTCATGGCCAGATCTGCGTACGCACAGTGTACCCTTCGGTACGTCCAACGTACGCATCAGTCCCCTTCTTAACCTATTAAGAGCTTATTTCTCCGACTTAACACGTCCAACTGCAGATCCAGGGCTAAAATACCATCAAGAGTCATAAAGTTTTCAACTTTATGACTTTGCATGTTCATTAAGTGCTTAATACACAAAATCTCAAAATCTTAATGCCTTAAGACCTTCTATAGCATGCATGGAGTAAAACTAAGCATCAAGACCACATTTTTATGACTCAAGACCCCTCATAAGGTCTGAAAGGATGACTTATTGGGTTAAGATCATGTCATGCTCAAGAATCACCATATTTGGGGCCAAAAATGCCCTAAATGAAGAAATGGCTAGATCTACAAGATAGAGTGATCAAATTATGAACTTTTTACCTCCTTGAGGTTGCTAGCAAGTGGGGAATCCCAGATCTAAGTTGCTTTCAAGCTTCAAGGTCCTTGCACCAACTTCTTCTTCTCATCATCGGGATGTTGCAATTAAGGTGGATTGCACCTGATCCCACCTCAGCTTGGAAGGAGAACGAAACATTTATTTATAAGGGGTGTGGATACCTTCCTTATCACAACGCGTTTTAAAGCCGTGAGGGCAGTAAATCCCATAAGAACTTTGCAGTTAAGCGTACCCGAGTGAGAGCAATCCAGGGATGGGTGACCCCCTGGGAAGTTTTCGTGTCGGGAGCCCAAAGCGGACAATATTGTGATAAGTGACAGAGGAGGATGTTACAAACAAAATGCGGCACAACATGGTGTGTGCGATGCGATTATCCCGAGCCCTTCCCCTTCGACCCGAAAGTACCTGAAACATAAACTGAAAACCGTAAGCATGAAGATTAGTGAGACCCCAAAATACCTCATACCATACATATCAAACATACAATGGGCCATGCCAAACAACCATCGGGCCCCGTCCGGCATCGAACCCCGCTCGGAACAAATCAGTCAGAACATGAGATGGGCCCTGCCCATCACATTCATTAGGCCCCGCCTGACATCAGGCCCCGCCTGAAATTCATATAGACACATAAACACAAGCAAGAATCACTAAGACAAATAATATACAATACAACCATCAAGCCTCGCCTGGTATCGGACCCCGCTCGGTATACATATCACATACTATATATGTAAGAGTCATACAGATGACTAGAATCCTAATAAATCATGGGCCGACATTAGCGCCTTTGACCCGTCAAGCACAGTGAGGAGACTGTCCTCAAACTGCTGAAATAACCAGATAAATGCTCAGACTGTTGATCCGGGAAACCTCCGTACTAAATATCATCAAATAATATCCTAATTAATAAGCAGGTCATAAACCATAACAGAGCCTCACCCAATGACACCCAAAAGCTTAATATTGCCCAAATTCCTAAATGATGCCCAAAGCCCATTATGGGCCCAAATCCAAGAAGGCCCAAGGCCTAACTATGGCCCAAAGTCAAAAAGACTAGTGGCCCAACAAGGCCCAAAACCCTAATAGTCCAAAAATGGCCCAAACTCAAAAGTCAACAAAAGTCAATGGCTGCTGAGAACGCCCGACGTACTCAGACTTACGCCCAGCGTATGCCATCTTTGGCCAGTACGCGCGACTTACGAGCTAGGTACGCCCAGCGTACTCCACAGCCAACCCATATCACCATTAAGTGCTTAATCTGTTAAGCCACTATGTCGAATTCTCAGATCTGGTCCTAAATAATGTCTTAACACGTATAGTTGGCAACTTTACTCCTTTGCATGTCTTAATGGGACCCAATACTCAATAAAAGCCATAATAAGAACCCTAAATCATGCATGGTCCACTATAACTCATCAAGATTGCATTTTTATGAACAAGAGACCTCAAAAATGCTAAGATCTATCATCCTTTTCTTCTGGAGTAGCTCATACTCTCATGCATGACTTAAAGAACCATAAAAAGCACAAAAACAAGCCCTAACTAGATCTAACAAAATGAACCATCAAGTTAAGAGCTTTATACCTCAAATATCTTTCCAAGTTGATGATGATTATGGATCCACAAGTTCAAGCCACACCAATGCAACTTCCAAGAGTTCACTTTCCTTCAAAATCACCAAAAAACACCCTCAAAGTTCACTTCTAAGCTTAAAACATTCAAAGGGCAATTAGGGTTTCGTTCTTAGGGTTTGGAGAGGTGGAGGCTGGTTACAAGAGAGTCTAGGAGCAACTTAAGGTGTTTAAATAGGGCACAAACCCTAAAAATTAGGGTTTGCCCCAGCCGACCGTACGCCCTGCTTACTCCCACGTACGCCCCGCGTACGTGGGTGCCTCTGAGACCAAACCAACGAGCCAGTACGCCCAACGTACTCGGCTAGGGACCAATTTTGCAAGGATTTTTAAAATGAAGGCTAAAAGGAAAAATACCCGAAATGCAAATGTTACAATCATTGTAACAAAAAAAATGGAATAAGAGATTATTTATAATTGATTATTTCAGGTAATTGATTGCCAAACATTTTGAAATTTAAAATCTCTATTAATAATTCTTATTTTAAAAGGCTTAGAATAAGATT